TTTTTACGAATTCTATGTCGAAAAAAAAGAGATACGTGTCCGAGGAATTTTTTTTCTCTCGCATATTTTCGATAATACAAGCTATCAAAAATTTGAGAATAACGAGTTTTTTGGCTTGGACACTCATTTTCAAAAATTTATAACTCTGGTTCTATTTGAGATACAAACTTCTTTTTTTGTTCATTTTAAAGCTAAAGGACAGAATTTTGATAAAAAAATATGTTTAATAAATATTATTAACAAATTCATATTGTTATTAACAATTTCATTGTTTAAATCAATTTTTAACAATGGCCCCCACCTCGTATTAGGTTTTTTGTATTTTTTTCATATTCTCCGTCAAATTTTACATAAAAAACATGTTTTCAAAATATGGTACCTTTATTAATACTATTGTTAAAACATTTATTCATATTGCGCGACACATAAAAAAACGGTTTTTTGTTAATAAAAAGAAAACTATTGCTTGGATCAAAAAAAGTTAAATATAAAAGTTATAAATAATAAAAAGATCTACAATATTTATTTTAACTATTTTTTCGACATAACCTCACTTTTCAAATAAATTGAAAAAAATGTTAAAAATCACCTCTTTTAAAATATTTTTCTATTATTTATAATTAATTTATGTTTTTTTTCATGGTATTGATTGCTAATAAATTTAAAAGAGGTGATTTTTAACATTTTTTTAAATTTATTTGAAAAGTGAGGTTATGTCGAAAAATAGTTAAAACAAAAATTGTAGAACTATTTATTATCTACAACTTTAATATTTAACTTTTTTTGATCCGAGCTATAGTTTTCTTTTTATTAACAAAAAACCGTTTTTTTATGTGTCGCGCAATACAAATTAATGTTTTAACAATAGTAATATTAAAGGTACCATATTTTGAAAACATGTTTTTTATGTAAAATTTGACGGAGAATACGAAAAAAATACTAAAAACTTAATACGAGGTGGGGGCCATTGTTAAAAATTGATTTAAAAAATGAAATTGTTAATAACAATATGAAATTGTTAATAATTTTTATTAAAAGTATTTTGTTATCAAAATTCAGTCCTTTAGCTTTAAAATGAAAAAAAAAGATGTTTGTAGCTCAAATAGAACCGGAGTTATAAATTTTTGAAAATGGGTCTCCAAGCCAAAAACCTTGTTTTTCTCAAATTTTTGATCACTTGTATTATCGAAAATATGCGAAAGAAAAAAAATCCTCGGACACGTGTCTCTTATTTTTCGATATAGAATCCGTAAAAAAAGTTTCAGCCAAATCGGAGATGTGTCGGTCAATTTTTATGAAAATCCGTACGGTTTGTAAAAGAATTACCCATATACAAGTATAAATTTCACCACACTTTTAATTTTATTTAAAAAAAATGCGTCGATAGATTTGGTTAATGCCAAAATCAAATGATGTTATCTTTATATTTTAAGAAAAAACATATTAACCGTTTAGTTTATATCTAACAGTAATTAAATCGATAAGGTTAAGAATATTAGTCCAAAAGTAAAATTTTTGATAATATATTTCAAAAAATCAGTTTTATAGTTCTAAATGCATTTTTGTTTAACTATTTTATGAAATATAATATTCATATTTTGTAAAATAATTTATATCTTCTAACAAAAATGTACTTTAAACTTTAAAATTGATTTTAGAAAATAAATTGTCAAAATTAAATTTTTATTCTCACCGATTCAATTGTGGAACTTAATACTTAAAAATCTCATAACAAAATATGAAGTTTTGCAAAATACAGCAAAACATTCTTTAGATTGTTTACTATTTTAGCTGTCATTTAAAATAAAATTAAAAATCCTTTTGTTTGGTATATAACACGGTATATTTTTGACTAAAAAACGAAATATCGCTAAAAATGACAATTTTGAAGAAGTTTTTATTTTAGTTGTGATATTATATCATTTTAAAAAGAATTTAATAAAATAGAACCTAAATATATATATTTTTAAATTACTTTTTAAAAAAGAATTTTTTTAGCACTACCTTAATTAAACCCAGTCAGGTTGGCCTATTTAAATTTAATTTTTAGGATTTTAGGAGGTTTAGGAGATTGAAGGCAATTTTAGGAGAATTTTAGGAGTTTTCAAGATTTAAGCAAAATTTTAGGAATTTTATGAGTTTTAGGAGGTGTGGGAGCCCTGAATTCTTCATGGAAGGGTAAAAATCAAATTTTGTCGTCCTGTGTAATATAGGCCCACAGAAATTGATCCCCCCAGGGATTTCGCTAGCTCAGTTCAATGAGGTTGGGACATGATGTCGAAAATAAGTGTGTTCCCACCTAAAAATAAAGTCGTTCGCTACTTCGACGAAATTTCGCTAAATCCCATTGAACTTTAATTTTGCAAAAGGGTGACGGGTTGCAGAAATACAGGAGTTTAAAAATTTAATTTTGTAGTGTACGCGTTCTTTATGTCATAATTTTTAAGCCGACAAAGGTTTTCTCCGCGCTTTAAGACAAAGGTGGTCTCGACAGCAAAAAATAAAGTAGGTAAGAAAAATTGATTTTAAAAATATTTACACTTTTTTTTCAAAAAGGGCCGCCTATAATATTTATTATTAGTATTAAAAAAAGCCTACTCCTTTTCCTACATTTTGATGTACATATTAAAATGGGATCTGGACATTTACTTCAAAAATAAAAGGTTTTAAGCACACAGGTACCGCACGTCGAGCAGCCCTTTTCGATCCACTACATAAGTGAATAAATAATGAAGGTCTAACAATTTTTGCATCGGTAGAAATATTAATGTTTATGTTATATAGGTTTAAATCAAATTTAATCAAATTTTTGTAGTCAACAAATAAACACTCTTAATAAATAACTTACCTCCCTCTCAATATTTGCGAGTCCTACGCAAATTACTAGGTATTAAAATGTTTTAATTTAAAAAATGTTATTATCTATCGTAAAAATATTGAATTAAAATACTAAGTAATTTGCGTAGGACGTGTAAATATTGTAAATATTTATTACAAGTGTTTACTTTTTTACTAGATAAATCTAATTAATATTGATTTAAACTTTTATAACAATAACTAGTGTGAATCCATTTTAATATACACAAAAAAATGTAATGTAAAGAAATAAGATCATAAGTCAATTTTTTTTCTTAATTTTTTTTTACAGTCGAGACCACTTTTATCGTAAAGCGGGTAAAAAACCTATGGGAAGTTATTTGTCGATTTATTAAAATAATGAGATTAATGTTAAATTTTGACAGAGTACGCGTAAAATAAGAAAATGAAATTTTCAAACCCATGTATATCTGCTACCAGCGTATTTATGTATAGTAAGTTCATAAAATTATTTTTAAAATTTAAAATTGACACCTCTAGTATGTACAATTTTCAAACGATTTAAATATTTTGAAGAATATTAAACAAAACCAAGAAACCATGTTCTTATAATATATTGTATAAGACAATGCTAGAAACAGATGTAATTTTTGACACATCTGTTATAACATTGTGATGTGACGCGCTCTTTTCAAGGTGATCAAAGCGTTTTGAATCTTTCGTTTTATAAAACGCTGTAGCATTCTCAAAAATTGGTAGCTCAATTGAGCTATAACTATAACTATAGTTATAGTATTTACTCAATTTAGGGCCGGTTTATCAATGTCCAGTTAAAGTTGCAGTTAGTTATCTGGCAGATAATCTCCATGGATACCATTGTTCTAACAACGATCGATATGGAATTTAACTGTCAGATAGACTAACTGGAACTAAACCAGATATTGATAAACCGGCCCTTATTCAATTTTTATTTTATCAAAAATTTATTAAAAAAAAATAATATTAATAAATATTAATTAATAAACAAAAAAAGGATTTCTATGTTTTTCGAGGCCAGGATTACGATTTTGACATTATTTTTAATATTATTTCTTTTTAAATGAATTTTTGATGAAATAAAAATTGAGCTAAGCTGGGTGGGCGTATACTGCCAAGATTATTGTTAGGTGTCAAATTTTTGGTTATAATTTCACTATTATTTAAACGTTAGATACATTGGGAAAAATGAGAAATTTGTAAATGCTTTCTAGCGCAACTTTTAAATAAGAAAATTGTGTTAAATTAACTTATTTTGAGAATTTTTGGGATAATAGTGTAGAAAACTGTTCTGCCGTCCTGATAAAGAACAGTCCTTTAAAATCAAAAATATTTATACTCATCCTAAAGTATCTAAAAACACTTGGAATAGCATTAAAAGACGTTAATTGAAAGTTATAAATTTTATAAAGCATTTAAAGTCTAGACAAATATTAAGATCTATAAATTATAAAAACAGGCGGTAAAACATAAAATAACAAAACAAATTTCAATTAAATATAAAAATATTTTTAATGTCTTAATTAAGGTTGAAAGTTAGCATCACACTTTATAACCCCATGCCCCCATCATATTGCAATAGTGAAAACTTGTATATATTTTATATGTTTTGTATGAAAAAGAATTCTAAAACTAAAATGAAATAACAAATAAGTGACTCCTCACATACTAATACAGAATTTGAAAATGTCTGTGATTAATTTTTTAAGCGTGACCAAACCTTGTCATTATATTTAATGTCTACTTCGTCAAACAGCCTAGATAAAAACGGATTTGTTATAAAATACTCTGGATTTTATCATTACATATAAAAGAACTCTGTAACCCATTTTATAACTCTGGCATAAGATGGCGCCGCTGCAGGCAATGGTATTTCTATTGTTATTTTGCGCGTTACAAACAAGCAGCGTGTGTTTTTGAAGGTTATCTTTCGTCACGGCATTTACTCGGTATTTGAGGTATTTAATTTTCTTTTTTATGTAAAGTAAACCAATTTTTTTTCTTTTTACTAAATACAATGTCCAAAAATCAAAATATGAAATCATCATCTAAACAACACCGCCCAAGCAACTCGCCAAAAGAGACCGCGTATCGCTAACTGATTATCCCTGTGAGGTCAAAATTCATTATTGTACTCATAAAATTACCTTCATATATATCCTCCTTTCCTTGATTAGTATTATTCATATCATCTATGTACTGATTACAATCCAACCACACCCTGTATGTTCTTCTATCACCTGGTAATACAGGTCTGGGTTCAGGTCCATCCTCAATAACTCTTCCATTGCTATCTAGCATACCTTCAACCTCACATCCTCTAATGGCTTGCAAACCCACTTGTGGAATAAAGGGCTCTTTGTAATTATATTTTGTGCCTAAACAAAAAACTTTAGACATGTTAACTTTTTTATTCAAATACCACTTTTCCAACCTATTGTGTTTGGTGGCTTGACAGTTATCAAAAAGCAGACATCGTGTTTTCTCAGGTTCTCCCACTCTGTTTTGATTTCGGGTCGCACGTTCAGGTTAACCGTGACGTCAGCGCGTACGCGACTCGGTCTCTTTTCGCCTATGTTCGGTTTGGCAACCTCGACCACTGCGAAGTTTAGTATCGGCTGCGCCATTCGCGCCCAGCCTCCCCAGAACACGCTATCGTCTTCGGATTTCCTAGAATATTAGTAGTATTATATACATTTTATTTTTTAAATTGTCTTTAATGTTTGTATTGTATTAAAATAAAAAATATATAAATGAACATAAAAATACTTATACCTACTAATACTAAAGCTTTAAAGTTTAAAAATAATAAAGCAATTATAGGTCGCATTTGAATTAAGCTCATCAAAACAGTATATTTTGATTTCATTGATAGGAAGTTAGTTAAATTTTGAAGATCTGCGTAATGGAGACTTTAGGTATTTGGACATATTTAGTTATTTGAACATGGTCCATATGTACAGCGTACATTGTACACATATGCAAAATTTTGCAAGGACCAATAATATTAAGGAATGTATATTTAACAATTCTTATACAGTACCTATGTCCACTAGGGTGATTCATTTCCGCAAAGTTTTTGTTTTCTTCGGTGCTCAAGCAAAATATTAATCTGCATATAGAAAAAAAATTCTCAACAAGTTTGAGCTCTTAATATAAATTTTAAGTACTATTTATATTTAAAGTTTTACCGTTTAAAATGCATGTAAAAATATATATATTTTTTCAAATTTCTAATGCTTACCCACCTTTGACAATATTGCAAATCGGTTTAATACACCTTATGGGGAATTTCACGCTCTTTAAAATTGCTTTTGAGTTTTTTTTTTGTAACTCGCATTGGTTCACCAGTAGGAGTCGTCAAAGGACAGTTTTTGAAAAAAATCGTTTTTTTTTTTAATTTTTTTTAACAAACCGCAAAAAGTAGGGAGAAAAAAGGGCTGAATCATAAAAAAAAGTTATCCAACCAATATTTAATGAATTTAGAGCCATTTTTATAACTGAAAACGTAAGAAATTGATAATTACCAACTCATAATGTTATTTAGATTGATTTTTTCTATTTATTATCATTATATTTTCCTACACTAAGAAGTTTTTTAAAATTATTGATTTCTCACTTATAATGAATATGAAAACAACAGATAAATTCATAAAAAAACAATAAGAAAATTGTAACGTGGATTTTGCAATTTTTCAACATTTCTGTCATATAGCAAAAAAATATAAATGAAGATTATTTAATTTTTTGAAGCGAAATTTGAAATATGTTCCATAACCTTCTGTATATTCCGATTAAAGTTTTGTTGTTTTTTTATGAATTTATGTGTTGTTTTCATATTTATTATGAGTGAGAAATCATAATAATTTAAAAAAAGTTCTTAGTGTAGGAAAATATAATGATAATAAATAAAAAAAATCAATCTAAATAACATTATGGGTTGGTATTTATCAATTTCTTACGTTTTCAGTTATAAAAATGGCAGTAAATTCATTAAATATTGGTTGGATAACTTTTAATTTATGAATCAGCCCTTTTTTCTCACTACTTTTGGCGATTTGATCGAAAAAAATAAAAAAAAAAACGATTTTTTTCAAAAACTGTCCTTTGACGACTCCTAGTGGTGAACCAATGCGAGTTACAAAAAAAAACTCAAAAGCAATTTTAAAGAGCGTGAAATTCCCCATAAGGTGTATTAAACCGATTTGCAATATTGTCAAAGGTGGGTAAGCATTAGAAATTTGAAAAAAAATATATATTTTTTACATGCATTTTAAACGGTAAAACTTTAAACTTAAATAGTAAGTGCTTAAAATTAATATTAAGAGCTCAAACTTGGTGAGAATGTTTTTTCCTATATGCAGATTAATATTTTGCTTGAGCACCGAAAAAAACAAAAACTTTGCGGAAATGAATCACCCTAATGTCCACGGATAGAGGGCCAGGACAAATGGACTAAAATTTTCATTTTTCGACCAAAAGTCATTCTTCATAAAAGGTCTGCTTGTGTTGAAAAGTCTATTGCCATACTTTAAATTTAAAAATATTATACAGGGGGTCGAAAAACAAGAAAACATGAAATACTATGTGAACATACTGTATATAAATATATATGTACTGTCTGTCCACTCTAAGTTGGCTAAACTAAGGAATTTTATTGTTTAGATATTAATGAATTGTCGTACTGTGTGCTTTTAAAACAGATTTTATATTATAAATAATACTAGTATATAATATGTACTAGTATTATTTATAATATAAAATATGTTTTAAAAGCACACAGTACGACAATTCTTTAATATCTAAACTACAAAATTCCTTAGTTCCGCCAACTTAGAGTGGACAGACAGTATATACAGGTATTTTTTGTTTTCATAATATTATATTAATATTACATACTTACATTGTATAAGAATAATTCTTATAATTTGTATATTTAACAATTATTGTTAAATATACAAATTATAATAAGTAACATTTCAACTTAAAATTGACAATCTAATTGAGGTAGTAGATCTCAATAAGACTTACACTTTTTTTAAATAAATATTTTTCATTTGAGCTTTTGTTTTTGAGTATCTACATTTTTTTGTTTTTATATTAACCTTGATTTATTGTTGATATATTTGATAAAAAATGTTTAGCACAAAAATGTTTAACTGACAATTCCAAAAAACTTTAAAGGTTTATGTACACAAAGAAGGTCGATAATTTGAAGCAAAAGCTCAAATATAGATATTTACCTAACTAATGCGGAAAGTTCTACTTTTCCACAAGCTGTTATCAGTCGAGTGCGGAAAGACAATATTTTTTCTACTAGTAAGGGAATCTCGCAATTTTCAGTCTCAGTTTCCATTTTTTACTTTCCAAAGGAATGTTGCGTACAGAGGAAGTGCAACTTTCAGCATAGTTATGCGTACGGAAAGAAGCAAAAAGTGTTAGTCTCAATGAGATCTGCACCTCTATCAAATTGTCCTATTTTTTGTTTTTTTATATTTTGTTGGTTGACATTTTTGATATTAATGTTTTACACAAAAATTGTAGATATTTAACTGACAATTCCAAAAAACTTTTATTTTTTATAAATAACAAAAGATCAAATGAAAAATTTTTTTTTTTTTGAAAAAGTGTCTTGATGAGATCCACTTTATTATGTTGTCCATTTTGAGTAAAAACACCCTGTACAGCTTGACATCTAACATTTTAACAAAGTTTAAATTTGTGCAAGTTTTCTAACATTATAATTATATGTACATGTAAATATTCATACATAATTATAAATTAAATTTAATTTTTAATCCTTCTACAGGGTATGCCTAAAGCATTTAAACATTTCGCACCCGGTCGGTAAAGTCGGTTTCATATAGATGCGAAATGCGAATTGCGAAATACGAGTATTCGCATTTCGCAACATCTATTTCATATAGATCTACACTTCGCGTCAAATTTAACGCACCACTAAAAATTTGCCACAATTTTAAAGTTAAAACCGAATTTGGTAGTTTTTGTTTTAAATTGTAGGTTTATTCTTTGGTTATGACGCCTTTATTAAAATATTTTTTTAAATTTGCGTTTTGAGTATATACAGGGTGCAAGAGTAATAATACGTTTTTTCCTGTAAATTTGAATCACCTTGTGGGTTGTACCAGCTACAACAGCAAATGTCTCTTATAATCAAACTATAGCCCCATCTTCTCCTAACATTTAGTTTTTTAATTTACCGCGTTATCTTTAATTTTAAAAGAAATATACAGTTAAATATTAAAGAACTCCAGTTGATTAAAAAATGTAAAAAGAACGATTTTAACAATAACAATAAAATATTAACAAAATCAATAAAACCAACATTAAAAAATATCAATATCGCGTATTTTCGCTTCTACTTCTAATTACGGCTTCACATCGACGGCTCATACTCGAAACCAGATGTCTAATCTCGACTTGATCAATGACATTCCATATTTCTCGTAGCATATTTGCTACGTTATCAAGGGAGGCAGGCAAGGGATCATGATCTCTTAGTCGTCTACCCATATTAACCCCAAAATGCTCAATGGGATTGAGATCCGGACTATTTGCAGGCCAGTCTAAAGTTTCAACACCCACCTCGTGTAAGTACTCTTGCACTATATGGGCGGTGTGAGGTCTTGCGTTATCCTGCATCAGTAAAAAAATTATTACCGATGTACGGGGCGAAAGGGACAACATGCTCAGATAAAATGTCCTCGATATATCGTACACTATTCATGGTATCTCCACGAACAATGACGAGTTCTGTGCGAGCGGTCAAGGAAATTCCTCCACAAACCATTACAAAACCTCCTTTGTCCATTATAAAAAACAAACAAAAAACTTCAAAATTCCCGCCCCCTAGATTCAAATATTGCGATAATCAGGATCTGTGGAAACGTCGAAACGCTTTTCAAATCAAATGGACCAATGGAAGAATTTTTTGCATTTCGCATCTACATATATGAAACGGGCTTAATACAGTTGGTATGCATTAAAATTGCCTAGATGTCTTTTTTAGTTGTGCTCAGGCCTTGGCCTTGGCATTGACTGTGACCTAGCTTTTACTTTTAAGTTAAAAGTTTTGACCTTAAAGTTTAAATTTATTATTAAAAAAGTGGTTATAATTGAACATCCATTAGATAGCCAATGGATATCCATTAAAGTTTTATGTATTTTAAAGTAAATTAACAGAAATAGCAAGGTTTGTCTCAATAATGTATAAATATATTTGTCTCTTATATATTATAATATTTCTTAGTTCATTTTGAAGCAAATTGTCGTTGTGCTAATGTCGCTAAAGTATATCCAGTGAATATTCAATGGATATCTGCTTTGGACTGGACATTCAGTGGATATAGGGATATATCCACTGGATATCCATTAGATATATCTAATGGATATCCAGTGGATATTGTGTGCAAAATACGTATTCGAAAATTATTAAATGCTTACCGAAATGGGCTGCATGCGTATAGTCATATATTATCATGCGTAATAGACAAGGTTAATTTAAGTTAAAAAAATGTTATCTTTAAGCGTTCTATTATTTAGGCTTTATTATTGTCAACGCTCACTACCAAAGTATACGATTATCTCCTAGTCTGTACAAATAATTGAAACAATCAGGTAAAGTTTTTTACATCCTAATAAAACCACTAGGACCAATCGATACCTGTGATTACTTTGAAGCTATCTAACCTCACTTTATACTTTTAAAATTGTTTACTAGTACGTTTTATATATCGATTAACAAATAAAACTGTGTGTCTTTTTGTGCTTCGTTCAATTGTAGGCCTCTACTAACGAGTTAAACTGTGAGCTCAGCACAAAAAGACTCACTTCTCAACCTCATGACATAAAAAACTATTTAACGTGTAGTTTTTGGGTTTCTATGTTTTAAAAACATTTAAATCAAAGAAGAGGTTATGCTACATTTAAATTAGAAAAGAACAGACATACTGTGATTGCAAATAAAAATAAATGTGTTATTGCAATTACAATATTTGTTGTTCTTTATTATTAAAAAAGTAATACAACCCATTTAACATGTCCCTTCAATTTTATAAGATTTTGAAAACAAAAAATACATTAACCATGTTAACCACAGCGGCTCTATTAGATTTGACATGTTTCAGCCTATAAAACAGACAGCGTTGCCAATTCATATAAAATTATTACTTTTAACAATCATTAAATAATTAAAATATAATATTCTAATACAAATTATAGATTTGACATTTTTAAATATTTTGTTGGATTTTTTGGCATAAAATAAAATTATGATGTAAACATTTTTGGACGTTAATAAACCTCAATTTACTTTTCCAGGAAAACGTTTTTTTTTTAGCTTGTTGACAAGTAAATAATTGTTAGTTACTTAGAATTAATTTATTTCAAGCATATTTAAAATTTAATATCCTTGTCCCATATTGATTAGGTATTCAGGGAAATAATTAAACCACGCGCAAATTTTTTCAAAATGTATCTGTTTGAAATAACGGTTAAATTGAAATTTATGCGTGGAATATTAAATAGGTACTAAAAATAAATTTTCTTAATATACAGGGTGTAACTAAAATGGATAAAACTGTAAACAAGTTCCTATGGGTATGTGTCCAGAAAAAGTTAGGTACCTACGCAAATTTTAAAATTTCGTTTTGGGTCAGGTATGACCAATGCAAAAATGACAGTTTTTAGCGAAATATTAAAAAAAAAAATGAGACTAAAAAAGCAAATGCCCACGTGTATAGAAATGTTTAAAACATCAGGTTTAGCCAAGAATTTCAGTTACACCTCGTATATTATTTCCACAATAATAAATATTAAAAAACACATTTCACATTTGTGTTTATGCTTGTTTTTATTTTTAATATTGGCAATGGTTCAATATTATCCGTTTATCTATGATTGATATATTTACACCTCACTGGAAATAATAAAAATACGATTCCTTAGAAATGTTCCCAATAAAAAAGTAAACATACAGTTTTATTGAAAATATAAAAATATTTTGTTTCTTAATAAAGTTGGTTCAAAACATATATTAAAAAAATGCTTTAATTATTCTATATACTTACATATATTTTTAAGCAAATTCTTAAACTAAATACGTTTTGTATATATTCATTAATACAAATTTAAGTGTTTTAATTTTAAAATATTACGGGGCGCCCCTAACTGAGCCTCTGCATAAGTCACTTAGACTGTCTATTCATTCTTTGGTCTAAGGTTTAAGCTTGAAAATAAGATGAAAAATGGGCGTGTATTACTGCACTCATACAGCATCACATTAATATTTAATTAAATATTAAGTCATCAGTAAAATAAATCGACATACATTTGCAATGTCAAATAAATTATGCATATTTAAATTATATAACTATTATATACAGGGTAGTTTAAAAGAAACCTTTTATAATTAAAAAATCAATAAAAAACGTTAAAATAATATTAATTTTCAATACACTTATATCGAAATCTAAACAGTTTCAGAAAGAGAAGGTGTTGAAGTGCCATATATTTAAAATATAATAATGTCTCCTAAACAAAAGAACATAGGTATTTTATTAAAATTTGGTAAGTATTGTTTTTTATTAGGTACCATAGTTGGGCATTAAATTATTTTTATACTACAAGCAGTGGCGTCACTACATGCGTGATAGAGGTAAAAAGGTACATGATTTTTAATGCATTTTACCTTAAAAAAAAACAATACCAAATTTTAATAAAATATGTTTTTTAGTTTTAAATGCAGTGTGACCTATTTGTTTCCGACTTTGGAGCAAAAAAAAACTATATTTTTACAAAATACAAGGCCTACTATGTTAGTTTTTAAGACTAAACTTTTAGCGATTTAAAAAAAAACTATGCACGGCACTGGATTCACCACCCCTCAAAACGACCCTATACTAAATTTTATTGAAAAATTTTAAGTGGGAAAGATTTTGTTGCCAAATTAAAAATGAAAAATAATAACTATTTACAAACATTTATTCTGTCAAGTATTCATAAAAGATTTTACAGGGGTAAGTCACAAACAAATGTATATGCAACTTCAACACCTGGTATATCGGAAATCGTTCTGTTTTTGATTTTAACTAAGAATATTAATATTTTTTTAACGTTTTTTATTGATTCTCAAATTATTAGATTCCTTTTGGACCACCCTGTATATAATTTTTATAGGTTTAGGTTATTTTTGTATCCATATTAAGTGAACATCTCCCTATTTGTATTAAAATGACGTTTAAAATATCCAGATAAAACTTTAAGTGTTACTTGGAATATAATCAACTTTCCTAGTTATAACTGTCCAAACATTTTGTATAATTAATTAATTTTATTAAATCAATTTTAATATCAACAAATCGATATTCCTCGTATGCTTTAAAATACACAGGTGTTAAAATTTTATTAGGTAAAAAAATAGAAACATTTATACCATCAAAAACTTCTTTTAAAAAATCGAACTTTATCAATAGTTTTAAAAGAACCCCATTTAAATTTAGACCAAACTTATTTTTAAATAAACACACCTATTCTAGATTCAATAAACATGACCAATGAATGTAATCTGATACCACAATCCACACAACAAGGTCTGTTCTATCTCATGCTAAAAATACTAAAAATCACTGCAACACTGCACAGAGTTTAACGGCGGCCATTTTTGTTGTTTACAATTCTTGTGCTTTGGGTTTGTGCTGTTTAATAATTGTTTTAAACGTTGGGTTTCTTACAGAGGCACTTGTAAGCCTCAAATAAGGCCTTTAAGTGCTAAGGACAACCATTTTACTCCTCTTTTATAATAAATATACCTTATTCTATCGGGGCTGTCAAATGACAATTTGAAGGTTAATTTTTGCACAAACCCAAAGCACAAACCCAAAGCACAAAAATTGTAAACAACAAAAATGGCAGCCGTTAAACTGTGCAGTGTTGCAGTGATTTTTTGTATTTTTAGTACGAGATAGAACAGACCTTGTTGTGTGGATTGTGTCTGATACCAAAAATAATATTACTTACCAGGGACATAAACGGCTGACGGCATCCTCGATATCTTGACGTATTTCATCTGTAAAAACATAAAACATAAAACAAACCATAAACACTAACGTTACGCATACATCCTTATTATCGATAAAACAACTACTTACAAGTGGACTCCAGTCTAAACAAATTAAAATTTCTCAGTAAATAATCGTGCAAAGTCAAAAACTGCAGGTTTAGCTTTGGCAAAGCCAAACATCCTTCGCCCGAGAAATACGCAGTTGGAACGACATTTTCGTCCCATATTATGTCCTCGGTGGGGTACAGAGGCATTTCGTTGAGGGCCTCCAGTTGGGAGGATCTTTTTTCATGGCGTGATATCTGTAAAATGTTTTGTTAGGATTCGTTGAAATAATGTTTATTTTTAATGACTAACCAAAAGTTCCCTCAGGAAGTCTTCATCCAGCCGACACCATTTGAAGTTTTCCTCGTCGTTTTTCGGTGGTACCAAGTTAAGGTATTCGGCTATTAGTCTCAATTTGTCTTTACTGAAAAAAATCAATACATTATAATGAATAAGTATACTTTTAAGGCTTTTTTAATTATACTAAATAAAAATACTCCTATCGAATAGATCGATTTTGATTGTTGCCACTAGGGTTTTAGGAAAAATTTTTTTTGGAAAATATATACTAGGGTGGGTCAAAAAAATCAACTATTTTTATTTTGACTTCTGCCACTGAAAAATCGGTTTGTGGGCACCTTCAAAACATGCTTAGCAACGATGAGCTCTTAACTTTGATGGGAAGATCCGCCTCATTACAGTTTTGCATATTTTTCTTAGTCCCCTACAAAAAAATTCATATCTTATCATTCGTTAATCATACAGCAAAACTCTAAAAGAGTTATTTGTAGAAAATTAAATGTTCTACAAAAAAGATCTCTTATACTTTTTTGATCAATCTAACTATTAAAGAGATATTCAAGATCAAAGATTGAAGAATTTTAAGAAAGATAACTTTTCTGTTCTGAATTTTGTAACTTACTGAAAAAAAATTATCGACAATTGAGATTTTACTATGTCTATCGGAAATTGAACGCTCTACAAAAAAGGTCTCTTAGGATTTATCGATTACTCTAACCAATCAAAAGATATTCGCATTGGAATATCAGTGCACACATCAATTGCAAAAAGAAAGTTTTTAATTTCAAATTCTGTAGAAAAAGAAATATAAGTTACATATTAGATAAGTTACATATTGAATAAGTTACATATTAGATAAATCCGTTAAAATAAATAAACGAACCTAAACCGTGATAAGAGTGAAAGTATAGAAAAAAAATATTGTTAAGCAATTAATTGAAAGCAATACATTCTCAAACGAAAGATAAGACATAATTTGGGAACTGACATTTCATCAAGATGAACTTAAATTTTATGAATTATCTCAAAATTTATAAATTACACAGATGAATTGGAAAAAATCATTAAAAAACTATGAATAGCAGTATGCACTGACATTCCAATGTGAATATCTTTTGATTAGTTAGATTAATCGATAAATCCTAAGAGACCTTTTTTGTAGAGCGTTCAATTTCCGATAGACATAGTAAAATCTCAATTGTTTATAATTTTTTTTCAGTAACTTACAAAATTCAGAACAGAAAAGTTATCTTTCTTAAAATTCTTCAATCTTTGACCTTGAATATCTCTTTGATAGTTAGATTGATCAAAAAAGTATAAGAGATCTTTTTTGCAGAACATTTAATTTTCTACAAATAACTCCTTTAGAGTTTTGCTGTATGATTAACGAATGATGAGATATGAATTTTTTTGTAGGGGACTAAGAAAAATATGCAAAACTGTAATGAGGCGGATCTTCCCATCAAAGTTAAGAGCTCATCGTTGCTAAGCATGTTTTGAAGGTACCCAGAAACCGATTTTTCAGTGGCCGAAGTCAAAATAAAAATAGTCGATTTTTTTGACCCACCCTAATATACACATTTAAAAAAAAAGTAACACAACATTTTTAACATTATTTTAATTTAAAAAAATATCCTTTATTACAGAAACAAACCTAAATTGAATTAAATTGATTTAAGAAAATAAAAGAAAATGTTAATTATACTGTCGGTTGGCTCTTTTTCGCCAAAAGAAGTCCATTGAAAATATCCAATTACAAAATAATGAATTAAAGTTAAAATTACAAAATCATAATTTTACAAATAAGTGTCAAATAAAACGAAAGTTATGTTAATACAGCACCAAATATGTTCTTTTTGCGGCCCGGTAGAAAAAAAATACAAAATCATACTGAATTAAAATAAAAGGAATAATTATTATATTCATCATAATATTATATGATTATAATCAGCGTCGGAAATTCACTTTTTTCTCGATATCAGTGTACGGTATTATCCGTAAAAATATGGAAATTTTCAGAAAAATTGACTTTTGCATTTTTTTGCATTACTTTTTGAATAAAATTTAAAAAAAGCAAAAATGAAAAAATCTCAATTTTTCCGTTTTTCCGTTTTTTCCCCGCCGTCTCAATTTTTCCGGAAATTTTAAAACCCTAGTTTCCACTAAGGATATTTTATTAAGTAGACGTTTTACTTTTATAAAAAAAACTAAAAATAGTTAACCAATAATGCCTAAAAAGTGCATAATTGTTCTAAGGAACACCCTGTATAAAAAGTACGCAACGATTTTTTAAAATTCTTGTTACTCCCATGACTCAGTAAATTTTTTTTATTAATCTTAAAAAACAAATACCAAGAACACTTACACAGAAAAAACCGTGCATGATTTTTCAATTAGGCAATTTTTTAAGTAGACCAAGTGAATCATTATCAACAAAAAATTATATATTTAAATATCTTCTAAAGGCTTAGTTAATATTTGTTGGAACGAATTTTATAAATTTAATTTTTTCTGACTATTGAGCACGAGACAGGAGTGCAAACCAATATGGAAAAGTGAGGCAAAAAGCGTCTGCAATGATAAAGTTTCTCAGTGCGCCATGGAAAACGTCATACTTGATTGTGATTGGCTCCAATCAGATGGGGTTTGTGCGCAATGCAGTTTTAGTTGTTCTGTGCCGACGTATTTTGTCTTATAAAAATACGGGTGAAACATAGGAAGTAAAATCTCAGACAAAATCGTCCAATTCAAGGGCATATGGTAAAAAGAAAAAGTCAGTAGAAAGAGAGGGAAAATTAGCTTTAACACATGGTATACGACGTTGCAATGTTTTATGAGTTATGTGACATCCAGTGGCGGCTCGTGATGATAAAGGAGGTTCATAAAATTAAAAAAGCGCCAGGGAATTTTTTTGTGGATTGCACGACTATTATTATAATTATAATTAATATAAGAGTTTTTATAGGAAGCGGTTTCTATCGGAAGTTATTAATTGTCACAGTCACATATTTATTTATCAATAAAAATATGTGGTCGCAGGTCTTACTCAGATAGGTTAATCACTTTCTATAGAAATTATAGTCGCACATTTGAACTATATATTGCGCATACGGCTATGAATCGCATAAATGAGGTAAAATATTATATAAACAGTTACTCATCTGTATCAACATTACCTTAGTGAAGCAAAATGCTTATTCAAGCTTTTTCTGTTATCAACGCTGGCTACATTCGCTAACGCAAAGCTGCGTAGGTCAGGAAATTTTGCGAACGCCGCCTTCTGCAACATAAAAACAATCAAGTGTTTTAATAATTTAATTTTAATTGAAAAAACTTACTTGAAGAGAAGTAATTTTGGAGTAGTGCAGCTGGGTCATGTCATGATCAGTTAAAGGATCGCCTGATTCATCGCTTATTTCGAATCTTGTGTAAAATTTCAGCATATCGAGAAGCTGAAATAAAAAATATTATTACTTATTATATCATTAATTACAAATTGACCCAAAGCATATAGTATAATATTATACTACAATATTTCTTGTGCTATATCTATTTTTAAAATGTCTCACAAAAACGCAAAGTAATATTGCTGAAAAATGGGCTCTAGCCTCTTACTTAATAGTAGATTAGGTTATTTCTTATTTGTATTTTTTATAGCAAAAGTTTCTTGATCTTGTAGAAGATAAATATTATTTTTGTGTTTACTTAAAAGGAATATTGTGGGTTATTTTAATGTTCCATATTTGGGTTTCTATTTTTGTTATTTGTGTAGAATTTTAATTAGTATCAAAACTATAATACCAATAAGTTACACATTTTACAGTGAATACATTTTTAAAATAATGTTATTTTACTTGTATGAGAAACGTATAGCTGGCCCCATCACTTTCATCATACAATGATCAGAGTTATTTTTACCCCCTTTCGTTTCTGTGTGTGGGAAAAAAATTTGGCTCTGTGATACTGTATCACAGAGCCAAATTTTTTTCCCATGTAAAAAAACGGTTTTTTTTCAGATGTGAAAAAAAACATGACAAAAAACAAAAAAACGGTTTTTTTTGTTTTTTTTCAAAATTAAATTTTGACTAAAATGTATATTAATAATAAAGTGAACAGACTAAAAAATCTGATTTCTTATTATTTGGTAGTTTCCACATTAGAAACCAATAGCAATGTAAAACTTCTACACTAATAAAAAAATTAAAGGATAAAAAAAAATTTGCGATTTTTCGGATAGCTGTATCTTTGTTAAAAATGGTCGTATTGGAGCCTAAAAAAAGCAATTTGAAGTTTCTAGTTTTGAGATTTTTAGATGAAAAACGTGCAACGCTCAATCCTAACGAATACCGTAATCGATTTTTTTGCTTTCTTTTTTGGTACACGGAATGTTCTGACTTAACCACCAATGAATAAATGTTCTACAAGAATTTGCTATTGAAAAAAAAATCCATACTCTACCTACATGAATTTGAAAAATCATGAAAAAATGCTTTTTGTAGCTTTTTGAAAAATCAAGCGCTGAATCAAAAATATTATATGTATTCACTTTTTTTAGGACCAAATCAAAACAAGCGCGGCCCTTATTGGTCAATTCGGTGGTGGTGGCGCGTGCATAGCGCGAGACTGTATTTACATTTACTAATTGTCATTTAGTGGCTAATTTTAGTCCATGGAAACATAAAAAATTAGGCTAATGGGACTAATCTTGAAAAAAAACCTAAAATGTGAAAAAAACCATTTGAAAAAAACAATGAAAAAAAACCTGAAAAAAAAAACAAAAAAAACGGACCGTTTTTTTTTAAGTCGCATCTCTAGTGATACAGCTATAGTTTTTAAGATATTATTGGCATTGATTATAATTGATAATTATCAAGGTTCATTGAATAAAATTAGGGTTGGCATGTTTTAATCATGTTTTAAAGAAGACATTTAAAACTCTGTCTTAAACGATATCTTAATATAACTTACGGTATATATTTCGTGACAAATTCAATGGTGCCACAATAAATATATCATTTTATTTAAAAAAAAACAGATGTTATGGTTTTGGGCAGGGTTGGTATGTTTAAGACAGAATGTTTTAAACAAACGTTGTTGTGCTTAAAAACAAAGAATAAAACGTTTCAAATCATAGGATCATTTAGATACTAAAAATAGGATTAGGTTTTTTTTAGGTTGTGTTTATCGTTATGTTTAAACTGGCCATAAAAAACACACTTAAAAAACTGTTTTAAACAAAAAAAAAACGGTTAAAAATTGTTTTTAAACGTTTTTTTTGCCCACTTTCACATTTTAATGCGGAACCCAGCCTCAGTATTCAACGAGATAAATTTAAATTTCCTAAAATAAGAACTTAATACGCTAAAATGCACATGGCACCATAAAACAACTATTTTCAGCAAATCAAGACGAAATTTATTAAACTGACAAATACATAACCTTACTTATAGGGCTGCGTTTCTTATTCAAATGTCAAAAGGGGCCTTTTGGGTTTGGAGCATAATACATCCGACAGTGTAAATTAGTTCACAATAAAATCATATTAAAAATTTACGATACATTTCGTCTAAATTATAGGAAGGTGGGTGATTATGAGTCATACGCTGCCTATAATATCTCTTAGTTAATAGAGGCCCAATATACCTACCTATGTAAACAATTTTATAAATTATTTTTTTACAATATTTAGCAAGTTCATACAATGTTTACCAAAAAAATTATACTGTTTATTTTAGCCAGTAGGCTTTACTTTTTAAATACCTACATTGTTGATAGAGTTAATAAAAAATAAATAAAGACTTGATAAGACGAATTTTTATATTTATTTAAGATGTACGATTGCATTAAATCAAAATTTGCCTGCACCATTTTTATTATACAGGGTGTCACGAAAATGGCGTTCAAACTGGAAACCATAGACAAAGTCCCTGTCTAAACTCTAAACCATATTCTATTTATATTTATTTAAATAATAGTTATTTATGTCATGAGGCCTACAATTGAGCGAAGCACAAAAAGACACTTCTTAACCCAATGGCATATCTTTATTTAAAAATAATTAAAAATATGAAGAAATTTTGAAACGGAGACTTTTTCTTCCTACACTATGGTAAAGCTGAATTTTACCGTCTCCAAAGGGGCCAATAATTACAAATGCCTGGCGGTATTTTTTTTATTTTTTCAAACAAAAGCTTTATTCTTTCTATAAAATAATTGCCCTAATAACATCTTTGTTAGCAAACTATAAATTAAATTATTGATATTAAATTACCAACAGTATAGATTTCATATTATTAATTGTTTCGACCTTTACTTGATGAAACTATTAACTATGTGGATATAAAAACAACTTTGTTTCTTCAGAAGAAGCTACTGTGTAGCGAAACAATTGTCAAAATTTAATAAATTTCGTGAAACTTTACAACAAAGTTGTTTTTATATCCACATTAGGGTGTCCCTTATTTTTTATATTTTTCACGCATACCCTCTAATTATATTTATTACCTGTTTATATACTCCCAGTAAAAATTTCAGCTCCATCTATAAACGGGAACCCGTGCCGACTTGCATCTGAACCCTCCGTTAGCCAACGTTAGGCGCGCGGTATTTTGTAACACGGTTGGTCGCGAGGTCTTCGATCGTAAGTCATTTTGTGTTTGTTATTATGTGACCCTTATATTATAAATTATTGACAAATGTTAAAATATAGTTTTATTTATGTGTATACTTTGATAAAAATGTATATTTTCACAGGGAGTGGCTAGTTACCCGGAAGGGTCTGGTAAATAGGCCGTAAACTCTGAAATTGATAAACTTAATGGGTTTTACTCTAAATAACTAAAAGAGTCTATTGTGAGAGATGACTACCGAAAACTTATTGAACTGTCTGAAATATTTTTGTGAGGACATCAAGAAAAGAAATGCTTATAAAAAGCTGAAATTTCATATAACAGTATATTTTAGCAATACTAATTAGTATATTAATATATTTAAGGGATAAAATCAACTAAATTAGTGAAACAAATGATAGAAACAAAAGCAATAATATTAATTAGTAATCATATTTAATAAAATCATTAGAAAAATACAGTCATGAAGTATATCTTCTTTTTAAAGTGTTTTGTGTTACAAAATACCGCGCGCCTAACGTTGGCTAACGCAGGATTCAGATGCAAGTCGGCACGGGTTCTCGTTTATAGAATGAGCTGAAATTTTTACTGGGAGTATATAAACAAGTAATAAATATAATTAGAGGGTATGTGTAAAAAAAATAAAAATAAGGGACACCCTAATCCACATATTATAGATTTTTACAGAAACTTATATCTAACTGTGTGTAGATGCCGCTGCGGGCTGCCTGTTTTGTAGATGACATGCATATAAAAATAGTTATTTGTTTTACAAGTGTTGAAAAGGGACTTTTTCATGCGAGCGTTTAAGTTTCTCACGAGGTTGAAAAAAGCTTTTCTCACAAGTAAAACACAATGCTTTTTCTACGAACCTATTATTTTTTATTATAGGTATTCAAATACAAAACAAAATAACCTAAAAACGTGTTTGGCAGCTGTTAAAATTATTTTCATCTTATTCTTTTAAGGTATAAGTTACCTACTTAAAATCAATAAACTTACATTCTCAATTTAAATAAAGGGACTAAAAATTAGAATTTATTATTCAAACACAATTAATTGTGTTCTAAATGATATTTAGACATACATTTACAAATACAATACTAATTTTCAAACGATTCTGTCAATTTCTTTTCACACAGACCTGTCACTTTTCATACAGAAATGTCACTTTACATTCGTGTTTTGCCTTGCCAATGAAAAGATTTATTTTCTAAGCAACTATGCTAATACGAAATGTGACTTTTACATAGTGGTGGTAGAATATAGTTATTTGTTTTACAAGTGTTGAAAAGCGACTTTTTCATGCGAGTGCTTAAGTTGCTCACAAGGCCGTCAGGCCGAGTGTGCATTAACACGAGCTTGAAGAAAGCTTTTCTTACAAGTAAAACACAATGTTTTTTTTACGACCCTTTTATTTTTTATTATATTCAAATACAAAACAAAATAACCTAAAAACGTGTTTGACAGCTGTTAAAATTACTTTTATCTTATTTTTTTAATTTTTAAGGTATAAGTTACTTAAAATCAATAAACTTCTCAATTTAAATAAAGGCACTAAAAATTGGAATTTATTATACAAATACAATTAATTGTGTTCTAAATGATATTTAAACATACATATACAAATACAATAAAAAAAACGTCACGAGGCTGTCAATTTCTTTTCATACAGACCTGTCACTTTTCACACAGAAATGTCACTTTACATTCGTGTTTTGCCTTCCCAATGAAAAGATTCATTTTCTAAGCCACGATGCCAATACGAAAGGTGACTTTTACATAGTGGTCGTAGAAAAAATAATTTGAAATGTCAAAATTTGCTCTTTATATTTTTAGAATTTTTTGCAGTCACGTTGTGTTTTTCAGCCTTGATAAATGTCACTTTACCGCCCATGTCTAAAGTATACTATTACGTTATGTAGACAAAAAACTGTTGTTTTGACTATAGATTATTAACCCGTAATAAAAATAATGTAAAAGTCAATTTTAATGAAAGTTTAAGAAAAAAAATGATTATTAATAATTACAGCCTAGGGGATTATAAAATTTTTTGGTAGTAAGTGTTGACAATAATAAATCAAATTATAGAACGCTTGAAGAGAAGTATATTAATATTATTATTTTTAAAATGGCCTGTATATATTTTTTATTATACCGGGTGTTTTACATTAGAAATATGAAACGATTTATAAATATTCTTAAAAAACAAAAATCAATTTTGACGGTAATTCATCTTTTTCTTTGATTTGTGTCAAAAAATAATTATTTTTTTAAATAAGTCTTTGGGCCGTATTTTTCGTTTTGTATAAAAATATAAATAATTTTTCAATCACTTCAATCTTTAGAAATCGCCGCCTCACAATTTTTTGTAAAAATAAAAGTAATATAATTATTTAATAATAATATTATATTATATAATATCAGATAAGCATAAATTGATAAAATAGAATAATTTATTATGTGATTCTAATAATATTATATATTTATTTAGATATTTTTTAAAAATGGTACGCAGCCAGCGTTACACGCGAATATATATAAAACTTGATTTTTAAAATACCATGCAGTCTTGTTACAAACCGTCATGAGGTAGGTTGGCTGAGTTAGTCGACTGTGTTTTAATTAAGTGCTGTGTTTCCAATAATCTATTTCGTTTTTAAAATACCTTTTACTTAGTGGCCAAAATAAGTCGACTTAGTGAAAGAAAAAACTTTGTAAAATTAAAGTGGATGGATAATAATCGCTACAAAATCGGTATCTTTTCATAAAATATTTTTAGGTTTTAGTATGCCCAAAATTTTTTTTCAATTCATTGATTCATTTTTTAAATTTTGTAGTAAATTTTAATTAGATTTTTATAGTGCATATTTAATAATTCAATAAAGGGTGTCCCATATGGGATATTCCACGTGGAAAGTTATTTATTGACAGATGTCAATGATTAACAAATAAAATTGGCTTTAAATTCTTTTTTTTTTCGTCCTAGATAAAGTATAGTATGCAATTCGTGTTGTAAATTTATCTAGACACTCGCTTTTATTAAACACTCGCTCGCAAGCTTCCCTCGTGCTTAATAAAGCTCGTAACTAAATTGGCGTTTATAAAACTTGATAAATAATATACTATTATTTCGTGTTTGTTTCTAACAAATGTGGAATATCACCTTAGTATATACAACTTACAAGTAAATAAGTACTTAATAATCATTATTCATTGGCTGTAATTCGTATGCAAATTTGATATACCTACCTTTGTAAATAAAATAACAAAGAGTGCCGCTTTTGTAGGCAGGCAACTTTTATTTAAACAATTTTTTTTTATTTTATTTGTCTCATTGAGATAAAATCTCAATACCTTTACGATGTATCGCGATGATATAAACTTATATTGCATCGATTGAATAACAAGTATTGTTATAAATATCGATTATAAAGATAACTTTGTCGTCTCAAGGATTAAAAGAAAGTGTTTTCCTTCATACCATTGCTAAATAAGAAAGTCGTATGGTTTTTTTTTAAATTTATATTGCAGAAATGATTTCTGAAGAAGATACTGTGTTAGCAAAACAATTGTCAAATTAAATTAAAATAAATTCGTGAAACTCAAAGACAGTGTTTATTTTTTATTTAGTTATACATTAGTGACATGGAGTTTTGTCAAGTAAAGGTCGAAACAATAAAATATACTGTTTTATAGTTTTATAAAAATCTATTTAAAAAATATGGCAACACCGACACAAATCCTACCAATCTTAAAATATCATATATAATTTAATTTTTATTGATTTGCACTTTATTTAAGTACCTACCTATAGTCCGACTGCTTCATTTATAAAAATTGATGAACGTTTTATTTCTAGAAACATTATAATAATCCTCGTGCTCGAACTGCTGGCAGTATGGGCTGGCGAGCCCAACTTGTGTTGCCCTTCTGGGCAAGAAACCTTGGTGGAGCAAAAAATATGCGAAAGTGGCATACCGATGACTTTACAGTGCGAAAATGGAACCGAGGGCGAAGATTATGTGTTTCTCGTTCATATACCGAAAGTACATTTAGGAAACTATACATTTGATGATAAAAAGGACATGATGTCGGACATGGGATCCATATCAAAAGATCAGTAAGTTTGTATTTTCTCTATAACCAATAAAAAACCTAATTATAGATTAAATAAATCTTCGGAATAAAACTTGCGCTTCTTTTAATATAGGTACCCACTCTTTAAATAAACCGATTTATTTAAATGTAGACTTTTTTTAATAAATATTTACTAGGTACCTACTAAAAATAGCGTTTTATAATTTGAGAAACATGGTACATGGTCAACCCATATCAAATCGACCAATGATGGTTGCTGACAAAATTTGTTTATTTTTTATTTATGTTTGTACTAATCTCAGAAAGTTGAAAGCAGATATTCATTAATTTTTAAATTAATTTTCTTCTTCTTCTTCTTCAATCTGAACACAGAAGCACTGTGTAATGGCCTTTAGCTTAATTAAAAGCTATTATCCAACTTAATTTTTGAATTACTTAATTAATTATAGTTAATTAGTAGGGTTAAACCTACATGGTACATGGTACATAGTACATACAGTGTTGCCATGTAGCTTTTTAATAAAGCGGATGTTAAGAAAAAGCGGGATATTCAATAAAAAAATTATAAATATTAATAACACTTAGTTTGATTTTTAAACACTTTATTTGATTTAAATTAATTTAACAACAAAAACAGCTTCTCAACGCAAGCGTTCGATAAATACTGAATATCCAACGATTGCAAGCGGTCCTCTCAAAAACAATTGAATCATCAGTAAATGCGTTACGCAACCCTTCGCGCTCGCCTTTCCTGACTCATGAAATTCACGACCTGCTAACACGGCCAGACTGACCCGGCTTTCGTTCTCGAAGGCCCACTCTTCCAGTGCTGTCATCGTCGACCGGGATAATTTCCTCTTCCTGTTCATTATCTGTCAACAACAAAATGCAAATAATCAACCACATGTCAACCCACCGCAATCTTATAGATCACTTGGTTCTTTACATATCGACCCACCGCAATCTTATAGATCACTTGGTTCTTTACATATCGATCCACCGCAATCTTATAGATCACTTGGTTCTTTACCATTCGACCCACCGCAATCTTATAGATCACTTGGTTCTTTACCATTCGACCCACCGCAATCTTATAGATCACTTGGTTCTTTACATATCAATGAAGCTCAACATACCTTGACTCTCAGCCTCAAAAAGGTCTAGCAAGTCATCCAGCTCAGTTGCCATCGACCAATCGGTCGGCCAAAGACGTAGCTGCTCTCTAGCTGCCTTCACAATTACTTTCCGGCCTGGTCCTATACGTTTCAGCTCATATCTACCCTCACCGGTAATACCAACAATCAGATACGGACCCAACCATTCAAAGTTTGTCTTGCTAATGTGCAGTTGACTCGCTCTATGTAACAGAACATAGTCACCAACTTTGAACTGCACTCCCTTGGTACTTTTTTCGACTTGTAGTTGTTCGTCCTCTGGATCGGGTCTCAATCGCTCCGCCATTCGCTTCCGATCGATATCCAACGAGCGAATTGGAGTAATATCTCTGGATATCTCATTTAGAGCGGCTTGTATCAACGGTGTCGCTCCATTTATGCCAATCAAACCTTGCAAAGGACTCAATTTTGTCGATTTTTGGATAGTTGAGTTCAACACCAGTTGAATTTTCCACAAGGAATCAGACCACTGATCCTTTACATTCATCTCCACCCTCAGCAAATTCATGATAGTTCGCATGTAGCGCTCCACTTGGCCATTGGAACGATGAATGTCCGGAGTAATGTAATGGTAACGAATATTCCACTCATCCAGTAACTCACACAGACTCAGGTTGTGAAAGTTAGTGCCACCATCCATAACAATCAGTTGTGGTGTACCAAAGCAACCAATAAAAGTGCACATTGCTTTCTTTGTCTCGTCCGCTTTTACGGTTTTCAAAGGGATTAAATTGCAGTACTTTGTAAAAGCATCGACCAGAACTAGCACATATTTATACTGCTCTTGCGTCGCTGGCATCGGGCCTAAACAATCCGCATGGATCGTATGCATCGGTATTATTGGCTTTTCCACTTGACGAACATCTTCATGCAACGGTCCACTACGAGTTTTCTTAATTGCACAAATCAGGCAGTGTCGAATATAACTTTTGGCAAAGTTTCTTAGTCTCGGGAACCAGAAGTGTTTTAAAATCGAATCAATGGTTTTGTCCAAACCCACATGGCACTGTTCATCGTGAAATAGTCGCATTAATCCTAGTCTACTGTGCCTTGGCACAAAATATTGCAGTTTTCGTTCCTTGTTTCGGTTCGCGGTAACATGATATAGCAAATCTCCTTTTACTTCGTACTGGTTCGGATGAAGACAATCGGTATGGTCGTCTGTCTACGATGTGGTTATCCGTCAAGTGAATTTCCATGGAAGCATTATTTACACTCCCCACCACAACAGTACCTTTTGACAGAAACGACGAGAAATTTTCCAATACTTTTACAACGGCCGCACGATTTTCGTCTGGAACGACGATTGTAGAGCGCCAGTCTGGATTATGATCCTCAACTGTTGCCGCTAGGACTGTTGGTAGCTGTCGATTTATAATTTTCGTTCCTTTACAATCAGTAACTGCAGCTAGGCGGGTGTCAAAAAATAAATTGCATCCAATCAACACATCGTAATCCAAATTAATAGCTGGTACCACTGCAAATGTCAGCCTTGTCCTTTGTCCAGTTATTTCAACATCAGCTTCAAATTTGTGCATCGAAATTAAGCAGCTTCCTCGAGTAATTCCTTTAATGGACAAAAAATGAGGTTCCATTTTGGTTTTGAATTTGTCAAAATATTTGTCGGAAATGAGCGAAATATCTGCGTCAGTATCGACCAAACCCAAGTAAATTTCACCGTCGAGTTTGACTGGTAAAGGAACTGCCTCCATTTGGATCTACGCCTTGTTTACCGTGCTCTTCCGTTTTTCAATAGCTCGCTTTGTAAAACAATTTGATTCCTCATGACCGGGTTTGAAGCAGAAATCGCACTGTAAACGGTCTTTTTTCTGATCTCTGGTTGGAGCAGGTTTTGGTATTTCGGTGCGTGTATTATTTGGACAATGACGCTTGACATGGCCAACTTGGTTACATTGGAAACATTTAATTTCTTGTTTGAACGGTTTTCCCTGGCTGTGGTAACGTTCAATGCGCGCCCTTTTGGCTGGCGGTTCATTTGTACTCGCATGCGGTTTCATAGCAACCAATACTTTTGGTACAGTACTTACGTAAGCAATTAAATCAGAAATTTTATCGAAATTACGCATTCCAGCAGATTCTCGAACTTTATCATCGGTAATTACATACACAATTAACTCAATAAGGTCGCTATCGGACCATGATGCTCTCAATTTTTTTAGCAAGGACAATTTCTGGTGCACGTATGTTGTGTAAGAATTAAAAGAATCACTTGTAAGCGCTGCAGCCTCGTTAAACAAACGTACCAGAATTTGTCTTGCAGGAAAAGCTTCTACAAAATCCCTTTTAAACGATGCCCATGTACGATTAAAATTATTCCAATTTTCATACCAGTTTTTTGCCTCATCCGATAAATACCTTCTCAAACGTACCAACAATTGTAGATCGGACCACTCAAACTCCGTTTTTATGCTTTCTACCTGTTGGCACCAATTTTCGGCATTGTCTGTTTCATGACGAAAAAACGGCAAATCCACCTGCTCTGGCGTTGGCTTGGATTTCGACAATTTTGTCAACACGTCCGTTAGTAACTGCTCCATATGGCACAGGCACAATTCCACTTCTGATAATAACACTTAGTTTGATTTTTAAACACTTTATTTGATTTAAATTAATTTAACAACAAAAACAGCTTCTCAACGCAAGCGTTCGATAAATACTGAATATCCAACGATTGCAAGCGGTCCTCTCAAAAACAATTGAATCATCCGTAAATGCGTTACGCAACCCTTCGCGCTCGCCTTTCCTGACTCATGAAATTCACGACCTGCTAACAATATAATAAACAGAACAAAATAAATATTTTATATTAGAAGAGATAAACTTGCAAATAATAGTCAAAAATAATAATCTGATTATTCATCTAAATCATAAATTGAGTTATTTACTCTATTTTGCAATGAACAATTTATGTCAAAAAAATAAAAAATTTTGCTTCCCAACAAAACATACAAAACTGTCAAATGTTACTAACATCATGCCTTAAGCTCGGTGTACAATTGTCAAAAACCTGCTAATGCCTTACATCAAACCAACTATAGTTGTAGACGTATACGTCTTATGTGTTCTGCATATATTGTATACGATATATGCAGAACAAGCACTGATTGGTTTTACATCAGACGTAAGCCAGGTTCATGGACAATAGTCGATATCTGTCAATGATAGCAGCTGTGAATGATATAATCATTATAATCATATTAATCAACTATACACATATTTAAGTTCTATAATTTAAGCTCATACCAAAGTATTCAATTCCCTCCTAAACATAATTTAGACCAATCAGGTGAAGTTTTTTACATCCTAGTCTGTAATAGACCCGTTGGGACCAATTAAAGAATTCTATAACTGCTGACTCATCTGAAGCTAATTCTTTTAATAATTGTTATTACACGGAAAAAAATAATCGGTAGACTCTACCGAAAAAATCGGTAGACTCTACCGATAAAATCGGTAGTCTCTACCGAAAAAAAATCGGTTCCCTTAACCGATTTTTATCGGTAGCAGCTACCGATTATTTTCGGTAGAGTCTACCGATTTTTTCGGTGCAGGCTACCGAAAAAATCGATTACCAATTTTTGAAAATTTTTTTAGCGAGAAGTTAAATACTCGCTTTTTATTAAATAGAAAATAGTATTTTTTTTTGAGGTATAAATAAATTTGAAATCCAAAAATATTAAAAATGAGGAGTAAGTTTTATTAAATTTTTTACAATTCTAAATAAATATTAAATTAAATGTCTGGTGGCTACAAAGTAGAGATTTTTTTTTGTATTAATAAACAAGGTTCTAAATTTGGTAATTTGCTCTTATTCTTTGTCATACTTGATTTATAATCAATTTCAACGCAATAAGCATGATAGTGTTGATCAAAATACAATGTTTTAATCGAGAACATAAGAAAATATATACAATTAGAAGACTGGATCGTTATTATCATCAATCTCAACAAAAACAACCAAACCTTTCTGATATTTTTAAGTATTAATATATTTTTTTTAACTTTTTAACAGCGCATCGATGCGGATTTTCTCGGTTACGGCTACCGAAAAAATCGGTAGACTCTACCGAAAAATAATCGGTAGCTACTACCGATAAAAATCGGTTGAGGGAACCGATTTTTTTTCGGTAGAGACTACCGATTTTTTCGGTAGAGTCTACCGATTTTTTCGGTAGAGTCTACCGATTGGCAATCGGTAGCTGCTACCGATTGCCAATCGGTAGCCTCTACCGATTATTTTTTTCCGTGTATAATTGTATGTACTTTTTACGTATTGTAAACAGGGCAACCAATACATATTTTAATAAAACTTGATAAACTATTTTTTTATTTTAAATTATATTGCCACTGTTTTTAGGTATTGCATTCAGGAAGCCTATGGTGAAGAATATGTTGTATATTGCACCGCTTTATACGTAGAAGAAACATACACTACTGTAATAAATGTCATAACTTTAACAACTTCAACATTTTTTTTGATTTTAACCATTGTTGTGTATTTTATAGTACCTAACTTATTGGACCTACAGGTATGTCACCCATGTTTTGGAATAAAAATTAATTTAATACAGACCATTTCAGGGAATATGCATCGTTAATGCATTGGGTGGTCTGGCCTTTTCCTTTACTTTTTTGGTGATAGTAAACCTATTCACTTTGGAGCAAGGTTTGTGCGAGTTTCTCGCATTCGGAATATACTATGCGTTCATGTACAGCTTTTTTTGGCTGAATACACTCACATTCCACATCTGGAGGACCACAATGTAAAGAAAATTCAACATTGTATTGCTTGTTAAACTAATCAAAATTATCTTTAGAAATCCCAAAGTGTTCGATGGTGTTAAAGTTAATTGTTGGAAAATGATTTATCTCGTTTACGGAATTGGGGGATCTCTAGTCTTGTTAGTTATTTTGCTGAATTTAAATTATCTGGAAGCATTTAAGGGTAACGATCTTCATCCTGATATTGGTAATGGGACATGCTGGTTCCAAAGTAAGTATAATAATTTAAAATTTATTAATATCAGTGTCAATTGTTTAAGCTGGTATTATAAATAGGTAGTGGCTAGAGACACGTCCATCGTTCTGATTGGCCACATTGGTCATGTGTGTACGTGTCCAATGATACATCCTAGTCCCGCATAGACTCGGATTTAGATTCGTTTTAAAAAGTAGTGTTGTGTTTAAGAATTCACACTGTTTAAGAATATGTTATAAATGTAAATATATAACTAACTAACCAACCAACCCAACCCATATTCTTAATTTAAACAAAATATAAATAGTATCTTGAAAATATGGGTTTATATAAAATAGAACATTTTTAATGTTACAATGTAAAAATGTTACAATATTTTTGGGAAAGAAAACAATTTAAAAAAGTAATTCTCCACCGGGAATTGAACCCGATCCTCCTGTGTGGGAGCCGGGTATCCTGCCCACCAGACCATACTAGGTATAAAAATTAAACTTTAAATTAGGCAAATTATAGTTTTAGGGTATCATTAGGATTTTTGTGAGCTAGTTAAAGAATCCTAATGAAACCTTAATAATATGTTTTGTTTAATATAAAAATATTGCACACTTTGCTGGACGTGGATGTATCACTGGACACGTCTGTTAGATCACATGACCAATTTGAGGTTTTAAACTAAAATAATAAAAAAATTCGACAATTTTTAGCCGTGGAAATTACGTTTATTTATTTCCACACCCCAATGCTTATTATTTTGGGTATCAATTTATTCTTATTTATTTGGACAATTGTATTTTTGTGGAAATATGTCGCCGCAAATAGTCCTGATTTTTCCGTACAAAAATACAGGTACGAGTGTATAAAATATCAATTGAAAAGTTAAATAACTGTAAAACTTGTATTGTAGGTTAAAAATGTGCATAAAATTATTCTTCGTGATGGGAATTTCATGGCTGTTCGAATTTTTAAGCGTATTCGCAAAATATAAGCAGCTAACCGTGCTGAAGCACATATTGTAAGTCTAGAAGCAAAAAATAAAACAAAAAAATATTTTCAATGATATTTCAGAATTATAACGGACATAATCAACGGCCTGATGGGACTTATAATATTCCTGATTTTGGTCGTCTTCAGAAAGAGGGTGATCCGGGGTCTTGCGGAAAGATCTGTGTGCAATTACAGATTGCCATCCACCTGGAGAAGACAAACTGACAGTGAAATCGACGAGAGCCCTGACGAGTACACGCTAACATAAATTTAAAAAAAAAGAAATGCAAAAGTTTTAACATTGACCTTCACATTTAAGGCAGCTTGCGAATTTGGAGACGTACCAAAGAACCTTGGATATTGGTGAATGCCAAAGAGATTTTAAGATGAATAATAATATTATATATGTAATTGTTATGTTGAATTTACTATGCAAATAAAGTATTATAAGTAATTTTACTTATTACATTTATTTTTACTAAACTATAAGTGTATACACTTAAATATAATGTATTTTGAAGTAACTTTTCCTATAATCTATGGCGCAAAAAACATTTTAAAAATGAATTTTATATACAGTGTTTTATTTTAATTGTCGACAATTCGGTATTTATTTAAAATAATCCGATTAATTTGGGGTACTCGAAAAGCTCTATCTTTTGAAGCCATTTTCATGGCTTTCTATGATTAATAGAACTCCAAAAACTTCTAAAATTATTAGGCATTTTTTAAATTTAAAAAAGGATAGCGTTTTTGAATTTGTAATACAATTTTATACAGGATGGTCAAGAAGTAAGGTCAAATTTGGAACAAAATCATTTTTTTAAGCTCTATAACTACATACTGTATAAATTCTGGCAAAGATTTTGCACAAAACATCCTTCATTTCTTTAGGTATTATATACAGTGTGGACCATTTGTTTGAGACTCCTGTAAAATCTTTATTTATTGTGCAATTTTAAGCGGATTTCTTTTAAAGTGTAGATCTTGATAAACTGTATTTTTGGAGCATAAAACGCTATATTTTTACAAAATACAATGCCTACTATGTCAGTTTTTGAGAGTAAATTTTCAAGAATTTATATTGGTGGTTTAAAAAAATCTATGCACGGCACTGGATTCACCACCCCTCAAAACGACCCTATACTAAATTTTATTGATTTTTTTTTAAGTAGAAACGATTTTGTAGCCTAATTAAAAATTAACAATAATAACTATTTACAAAAATTTATTCTGTCAAGTAATCCATGAAAAAAACATTAAAATAAAATTAAACAAATATTTACATGGCATTAATATTCCTATGCATAGTTTAGACAAATAAAAAAAGCAATAGAAACAATGAAATTAAAAATAGAGAATGGAAATTCTCTACAATTAGATTTTTGTCACCTCTACTGCACAAGAACTACAGGCTAGGGTAATACAAGCCTGCGCAGCCATTTCTCCAGAACAAAAATGAAAGTAAACTGAAATAAATGGTGGATTAGTAGAGGTGACGAAGAGGGGGTTGAAAATTGGTTAAATTTGTTGAAATAATTTTCAATAAATAAATTTAATTTTAATTTATAGTTTCGTCAGGCACGTAAAAATAGGCTAAAAATTTATCACGCGCGCAACAATACATTTAAAGCACACGAACTGTACATTATTAGTACTCGATTTCGATTGATTATTCTTTATATCATTGATTAAGAAACTCAACGCTTAAATGCTTATATAGTTACGTTAGTGTGTTTATTTTATCCAAGGGATCATGGTGAAGTATTGTGTTTTTAATTGTAAATAAAATTCAAGAATTAAATCGTTGCATTTTCATGTTTTGCCAAAGGATCCAATTCGGTAAGTACATTTGTTGGTGCAGAATTAACTTATGATAACTGTACAGTGTACCCCTAATATAATTTATATTTAAGTTTGGACATTTTTAAGAAATTAGTAAAAAATAATTTTTTCACAAACATAACCTTAAAATCAACCATTTTTATATTTGAGTTCTCTAAAAAACGCCGACAACTGCATTTTAAACAACAAAATATACCTACGAATTCATGGCAACATAATATTATATTTAATACATAATATAATTTTACCGTTGAGTGGAGACTTTAAAGAATTCTTAATCAACGCTTTTAATAATGCTAAATGCTGTTTGAATTTAGACGACTTATTTGTTTGACGATTTTTACTGAATTGAAATGTTTACACTTTTCACGTTAATCGTTACTAAAATGTGTATTTATTGTATCTAATAGATACAATTTATATTTACTGGGACTGTATGAAATTTATTTCTTCATTCGGATTAACACTGTTTATTGGAAAACCGACAAAAACTCAACCCAGGATTTCCTCTCGAAATACACACAACAACACAACAAATCGAGACACGGTTTTTTTCACATTTTCCTGCTTTATTCTCAAAAATACTCGTTTGTAACACACGCGTTTGACAGCTGATTATTAAAAGTTGTACTTTTGTTACGATGATAACAGCCGAGTGATGGCGCTACTAGCGATACTTCTTTAGCGTATTGTGCTTCCTCTATAGCAAAATTTACATTGAATTATCTACATCAGTAGAGAAATCCCTTTATTAATAAATTATATAATAAATAAATTTTTTTCACGGTTTATTCGCAAAATTCATTAAAAACATATTAAATGTATAGGATAATTTGTAAAATAATACCAGAAATGTGCTCAAATGTTATCGCAAATTTCTGAGTTGAGTCTAGCCAGATCCCCTGAAGAGGAGTTGCTATTGTAGTAGATATTGTGTTTCACGTATACAATTACTTCCTAATCATAATCATACTGTAATATAAACATTTTTTAACAACGCCCTTATTAAACGCTTTTAAGCGTTCTATATATAGATTGCAAAATATAACAATATATAATTTGTGACAGATTGCATATTTCTCTGAATGAGGTATAACAATTTGTACAGGATATTATAATTATGAAATTTTTTTATAATTTTAATTTCTCATCGATGATCAACCATATTTTTTAGAGAAGTATATCGTCATTATACTTAAGGTAACATAAAATCGTTTACACAGACCTAATATTATTTTAAAAAAAAATTGTTTTGTAGAATTACATTAATCTGTCTCCTGCTTGCAGGAGATAGGGTTTTCTGTTCAAAGGTGATGGACAAAACATGCGAAAATTGCACTCCAATAACAGTTGTATGCAGAAATAAAAATTTACAAGGGCATAACCTTTACAATACAATATATCATCGCCTTTATGAGAAAATTGTTTAACTCCATGTAGTAAAATTTTAAAGGAGGAAAGAAAAACATATTAAAGGTGTATTGCCAATACAGTATTGGTGTATCTCCACATTACCGACAAAAAATTGTTTAATGGAAAATTACGTATCTCCAATATGTACTTTATGTTAATAAAAGTAACCTAAAATTATTCATGGTACCTTAACTTGACACACTATACAATCTTTCATACTTACTTTTAATAAATTTCACTTCCGAAAACAACGGATTTACGCGTAAACAGAAAAAATAACTAGGCAATAACTTATACTTGTCAATGGCACTGATTTGTATACTGGAGTTAGGCATTATTCCCTGGACGCTCCTCCACGATTGGAGATACGTATATTTCTTTTTCTAAATTTAAAATTAACGGTTTATTTTAGGACTTCTGTAACTTGCATATAAATTAGTTACAGTTTTATCTAACAGATGCTACTAAAATACCATTTTAATGAAAATGGAGTTACGTGATTTTCTCCTGAAGGCGACGATATGTAGAAATCTACTTTATGACGTACGTACGTTTTTTGGCGTGCCCTCAGCTAGCAAGTTACTCTTCTGTATTTAGTCTTCTTGGGTTATCTCTGGTCTACGTTCTTTAGTATATCTCAAGAAGACTAAATAAAGGAGGGATAACTCTCGACCACAAGGCATAATATTTTATGTCAAATAGCGTGCTCAACACACATAGCTGTTATCCAATGCTGGTTGGGTAATTTACAAATCATACACTCGTAAAGTGTGCGCACGAGCATTTTGCGCATCCGACACGTCAGCAATAACCTACGTCATGACGTACGTACGTTTTTTGGCGTGCCCTTACCTAGCAAGTTACTCTCCTGTATTTAGTCTTCTTGACAATTCTATACTTTTAATAAAACTATGTATTAGGCTTTGACGCGCTGAATTTTGAATTGCTCCTTCACATTTTTCAAGTAGAAAAAAACACTCTTGTTGGATCACGAAATACGTGTTTTCAACAGAACTCATGGCATGAGTCTTATGCCAACTAATAATAATACCTACTCTTCACCTTCAAAATGCTTTTTAAATTGTTTCAATCTTTTCTTCTCTACGTTAGCAAATTATGATTTCTCGAAGAAGACAAAAAGGGTACTAAACAAATTCAAGAAGAATTTTGAATGGAAATAATAGTACTTTCAAATATCGCGTTGTAAAGAAAAAATACCTTGATGTAATGTAACCTCAAATATTGAACGTCTTTTTTCACGTTGGTATTTCAAATTCTGAACCTTAAACCTAAACTTCACAAATAAGTCATACTTATAAGTGAGACTCAAAGTTGGAACTTTTTTCATGAACATTGCTTTACATAAATTTTAAAAATCAACCAAAAGTAATCGATTTTAATCGATAAACAACGATTCCTTTGACTAAGTATACTTAGTGATGAGAAGATGGGAGGTGATATCGCCTGTAAGAAGTTTGGGTATATCTGGGTGTCACTGTTTAATATGTTTATTATATTATGATTTCTCGAAGAAGACAAAAAGGGTACTAAACAAATTCAAGAAGGATTTTGAATGGAAATAATAGTACTTTCAAATATCGCGTTGTAAAGAAAAAATACCTTGATGTAATGTAACCTCAAATATTGAACGTCTTTTTTCACGTTGGTATTTCAAATTCTGAACCTTAAACCTAAACTTCACAAATAAGTCATACTTATAAGTGAGACTCAAAGTTGGAACTTTTTTCATGAACATTGCTTTACATAAATTTTAAAAATCAACCAAAAGTAATCGATTTTAATCGATAAACAACGATTCCTTTGACTAAGTATACTTAGTGATGAGAAGATGGGAGGTGATATCGCCTGTAAGAAGTTTGGGTATATCTGGGTGTCACTGTTTAATATGTTTATTATATTTATGATTTATTGGGTCCAAATGACCACATCTATGTCAATAGTTCATTTGAATTATTAGTTTTAGCTACAGCATATCAATCATTATTTATTAGTTAATTTTATACACAATGGTAAATTTTAGTAGAAAAAAATATTGTTAGCACTAAAAAGTTTAACAATTTATTTTAATAAACTACTGCAATATACATCAAAATATTGCCTACAAAATAATAAAAATAAAAACATTCTTTGATAGCAACAAAATTTCATTTATGTTTTGGTGTAAAGGGTGTA